GGTTGCCAATCCAAATGCACACGTATTAAAATCACCGCCGGTAGTGGAGGCGCTACAATTTTTAATATTTATTCTGGTAACAAAACGTCTAACGCCACTGCCACTGCCACGCTTCAAGGTGCTGGTATGGTAACTTTGTTCTAACCGATGAAATCGAGTAGCACGTTTTATGGCAGAGTTTTGATTATCCTAGCAGCGTGTTTTTGTCAGGAATGAAGCTCGATTTTAATTCCGCAACATGGCAGGATTGACATCTTACTTCTTGGGTAGGTGATTCATATCCGGCTTCTGAAGCCTTTGCTTTGAGCTGGCAACCCACCACTACCACCACCACCGCTGCCACCCTCAAAGGATCAGGGAGAGGGCGGATCGTCATTTATAGGCGAGGAGAGTTATACCGGAGCATGGTTATAGACGATCCAAATAGAATGTTAGCTGATTTACGACATCAAATTAGTATCAAATAATGATAAAAAGTATATCATTTTGAATTTTACTTTTCCTTTATATTTCTGGATGTTAAGTTCGAATGGGGAGCTTCTTAACGGACAAACGATGGACCAAACCATTCAATTTTGCTATGGGTACGAAAAACATGGTGATGAATCAGGATGTGTGTCGACTTCAAAGATGCTGCCCAATTGTCGCTATGAAACGATATGTTTGTGGAAAAGAGGATAAATGTTTCTGTATGGGATAATGATGTGATTGTTGATAATAATTCAAGCCTAAGTCTAAGTGATTGCATGGAAAGGTGCTGGAACAATTGCAATTGTGGTAAATTCAGAAGCTACAAGGACAGAACTGGTTGTGTTCTTTGGACAGTGAAGTCGTCCTATCAAGAAAATCCGTGTTCGTCCATCGCCTACCTGCTAGTTCAGAGAAATTCATATTCATATCGAGGTAAGTTCAAATACATCCTCGGTCTGGATCTTCATTTATGACTGATATATATATTCAGTAAATGATCTCATTGGTTCCTTTAGCATTTTCAATGTGATCCCTCACGTTACGGCTTACATGAGAATTTTAGCAATGCCGCATAAAACATAAAATAAATAAATAACTTTTTTATAGTTAATTTCTTTCAAATCTTACTTCTGGTTCCTCTATTTTCACCTAAAACACTAACGGTAACTAGCAGAGAGACTACATTGAAATGAGAGAGAACAATTTGGATAATCAGTGGATTTGTTGTTATTCATGTTGCAATTTCTTGATACTTGAAAGTCGACCAATTTGTTAAATGACATTTGTGCAGGAAAAAAAAGTGGATATGGATAGTCATTGTTGTGTTTGTTTCTGTGGTTATGCTTATTTTAGGCTCCCTATACTATCTGAGAATGAAAAAGCATAGACTGGAAGAAGAAGGTAAGTGTGTTTTACAGTTTATAAATTATTGGCTTATTGATTTTCAAACACATGTTAATGTGCTAATTACTGGTAATTAAGTTGAGACAATAATATTATAGGGGAGAAGGAAATGAAAATTTTGTATATAGAAAAGTTGATAGCTTCAAGAAGCTATGATAATGCAAATGGGGTTGGAAATGATAGGTGGAAGATCATGATTTGAAGATGCTTAGCTTTGCATCCATTGCGGATGCCACAAATAATTCAAATGAAAATAAGCTTGGAGCAGGTGGTTTTGGACCTGTTTACAGGTAAACTACAAACTTTTTTGAAGAAAAAATTTATTAGTCTCTCTCCACTATCATGTGCTGGAAAAAATAAGTATATCCACTAATTACCAACTGATCTATAAATTAATTAAATAGGGAATATTACAAGAGGGTCGAGAAATAACAAGTAAGAGACTTTCAAGAACATCAAGACAAGGGCTTGTGGAGTTCAAAAATGAACTGATATTCGTTTCCAAACTCCCGTGTTGTATTCATCTTGTAGAAAAAATGTTAACTAATGAATACATGCCAAACAAAAGCTTGGATTCCTTCCTTTTTGGTTTGCCATTTACTAACATCGACTATTGTCAACATAATTTCAATAAATTTAAAAAATTACCTATGCTGTTGTTCATACAATAATAGTTACCTGATTTTTTTTTTCTTCACAGATCCTACTAAAAGGAAGCTACTAGATTGGAAAAAGCGTTTGAACATCATTGAAGGGCTTGCTCATGGCTTGCTTTACCTTCATAGATACTCGAGAATGATTGTAATACATAGAGACTTCAAAGCATGCTAGTAATGTATTATTAGATGAAAACATGAATCCTAAGATATCTGACTTTGGCATGGCAAGGATTTTCAAAGAAGACGAGACTGAAGAAATTACTAACAAAGTTGTTGGAACATAGTAAGTACAAATTTACTCAATCCCACATGTGGATGGATAAAAGTTGTAACTCTTTACACAACATTTACTTAAAATATATATCTTTCAATCATACATATAGTGATTATATGTCCCTGAGTACATCATAGAGGAAACTTTCTCCGTCAAATCTGATGCCTTCAGTTTTGGAGTATTAATTCTGGAAATTGTGAGCGGTAGAAGAAATTCTACCTTTTATCATCTTGATTGTCCGTGCAACCTCATAGGATATGTAAGTTTGCCTCGTAAATTCCTCCTCCTCCTTTTTTTGGTTAACCAAAGCATTTGAAAACAAATGCAAAATTACAACTATGTTTCGTAAATGGAAATGGAATTGGTATTGTTGCAGGCATGAGAACTATGGAAAAAAGAGACTGCATTGGAGTTGAAGGATCCAACACTAGGTGATTCATGTCCAGTACAAAAATAGCTAGTAACTATTCATGTGGGTCTTTTGTGTGTATAAGAAAACGCATTAGACAGGCCTATCATGTTAAATGTTATTTCTATGCTTAGTGACGAAGCTTTTCCCTTGTCAGCTCCAAAAAAACCAAGATTTTTTAACGAAAGAAATATGCTTGAGACAACTTCACATCGTCGAAGCAATTCAGGAGATTGTTCAGCGAATAAATTGTCCATCTCTATAGTGGAAGCACGGTAGGGATATATCAACAATTTTCTTGGATTACATGTCATTTTTGTGATTGACCCTATCAAAGGACACTTTATGTATCCAAAAAATAACCTATAACATTTTTCAAGTGTAATTATGTGATTATCACAGGCATAAATTTAATATGTGATCATATTATATTTTGCAATTTATTAGAATATATCAATGTTGTTGTATTCTTCACAATTATGTAAGAGATGAAATGTTAGAAGAGGATTTGGTTGTGAATAATTTCTTTTGGGATAATTGGTTGTGCATTCTTTGCCCTTAAGGGGTTGTTTGGGATGACCTAAATAAGTATACTTTTTGTCTTTTTATGAAAAGATGTATAGAGAAGTAAAGAGGTGATGTGATGGAAAAAAGATAAAAAGATGGATTATTTGAGGTATGCTAAACTTGGCCTAAAAATCATAAATTATGGTGATTATGATTCACATAATTATGGAGGGGTGAAAGGAACATATAATTTTAGAATTTGTTGAACATGTGAATTGTCTAATATAAAATTATTTAAATTAAGACTAATCAAAAGAAAATAAACATAGTAATCAGAGTTTGAATTTAAATTATTTTAATATGATTTATTTTTTTATATTTTATTAAATTTGCATATAAAAAAAATACATCACATCATACTTTTTGAGGACAATACAAATTGGGATGTTGGTATGTTACAGCTCGCATTGGAGGATGCTTTGAATTTAGTCATCTAATAAAATTATGTAGTCAATGTGTTCCACTTTGGTAGACTCTTCTCCTCGAGGAGCCACTCTAAAAATGCTTAAGGATTAAAATTTATATTGAGTTTTATTTTAGAAGTATATGTGTGATGTTTATATAAAAGTAATGGGATATGAGTCACACATATACTGTGTATGGATTATTATTTATTTTTTTTGAATAATTTTTTAAATTTTAATATTACTGAGACCACTCCGTGAATTACTCATGACCTTAGATTGATAAATTTTTTGGTCTCTTTTCTGAGATTATATAACTGGTGTAAGACTAACCTCAATAAAATGTAGGCCTGTTCAAAAATCCGTTCGATCCGGTAATCCGGACCGAACCAGACCGAATCATACGGTTTGGTTCGGTTCTATTAAAAATTGGTTCGATTTCAGATTAAGAAATATGAGAACCGTAAAAACGGTTCAGTTAATGGATTTTATGAAAAAATCGCGGTTCGAACCGAATTTAAAAACACACATATATATATATATAATATCAAGTTTTATTTTTATTAATTGATTTTTTATAATTTTAATGATATTAGGATGATATAGATATGTAATATGAAGTAATGCGTTAATATTATTAATTTTTATCATGAGTTAAATGTAATTAGTTTGAGTAATTATTTTACTAATATTAATAATTTATTTTTGTAAATAAAAATTTTTGGAACCGTAAACCAAACTGAAACCGAACCGTTTTTTCGGTTTGGTTTTGGTCCGATTTTGCAAGTGTAACGGTCTGGTCTGGTTCTCAAAATCACAGAACCATTAAGATCGATTCGATTCCTGAATTTTCTCAAAATCAAACCAATCCGGACCGTGTACACCCCTAATAAAATGAAGCCCCAATGAAGGCAAGACACTTGAATTTTTTAGTAGGCGAAGAAAAAGTGGCCAAGTTTTGATATACAAGTCAACCAAAAACAAAATTGATCATGACTTATGCTTTGAATAAATTTAAACCATGCATTTGCGTAGAGGGTAATTATTCACTACTTTCAGAGAATAGACACGTAATATTTTATAAGGTTTTGATCGGTAGAAAAACGTAAAGATTCATGATTTATATTGAAAATAAAAGAATAATATAGAATTAAGTAATTAATAATTAGGTTGAAATATGATCACGTAGTATTATGGGAATATTGAATAATTTTTCTTCCGTGGCATTGATGTTTTAAATAACAGCGTCATTGATTACGTATCAATAAATATCAGTACGCGAAGTACAAAATTCTCCTATTATCAGCTGATATTTAAAGACACACTTCGGTTAGAGTTGAAAAGGCAGCAGCAGAATGTGGAAGAACGCAAGAACATTAGGCAGAGGCAGTTTCGGGTTAGTCTCTTTAGCCATATCACAGCCAAACGATGACTCAAAGCTCAATCTTCCATCTCTAATGGCTGTGAAATCCGCAGAAACTTTCCAGCACCATTCACTACAGAAAGAATCCAACTTGCTAACCGAACTCAACGACTGTCCCAACATCCTTCGTTGCTACGGCAGCTTCATCAGCAATGACGACGACAACAACAGCGTCCCTCTCTACAACATAATCCTCGAATATGCTTCCGGTGGCAGTTTGGCCAATCGTATAAACACCTCACCCGGTGGATTATCAGATTACAAAATCATATGGTACACGAAATCGATATTAATAGGACTAAGTCACATTCACAAAAAGGGCTATGTTCACTGCGATATCAAGCCTCACAACATCTTACTAGTGGGAGGACCGCTGCCATTCGGTTTGAGGAGGAACAAGGTCGAGCAAGAAACTGTAAAAATTGCGGATTTTGGGCTGGCAGAGAAGGCGGGAAAGAAGCGAAAAATCGAAGGTACTGCTATGTATATGGCCCCGGAGTCTGTAGTGTACCGAGAATATGAGTCTTGGGCTGATATTTGGTCACTTGGATGTACAGTTTTGGAAATGATTACTGGGGAACCATGTTGGAAGTGCGAGCCGGGTACAGAGACTTGTGCTCTGCTGTTTAGGATTGGTTTTACAGAACGAGTTCCGGAAGTGCCGAGTTGGGTTTCCAAGGAGGGGAAGGATTTCTTAAGGAAGTGTTTGGTTAGAGAACCCAAATCGCGGTGGACTGCTGATATGTTGTTAGGGCATCCGTTTGTTTCTTCCAAGATCATAATACCAGTTAGGGGATTAATGAAAAAATATTGATTATTCTTCTTTTTATGAAGAATTATTGTACCGATATATGTTAGTTATTTATTTATTTATTTATTTTTTCTTTTCAAGTTGATGCATTTCGGTTATTCAGCCAAACAGACTACAGAAAGTCGTATTGCCGTGTGTTGAATTCCGAAGCTATGAGTTCACTTTTGTTGACTATGGGCCAATTTGGCAATACAGATAAAAATCAAAAGTGAGTTTTTAATTTATTTTAAATTATATCATTTTTTAAATATTTTTTTCAAATAAAAATGTTTCATGCCTCCTTTTCCCGCACCCTTTCTCTCTCTCTCTTTGATTACATTTTATTTATTTATTTATTTTTTTCATGCTCTTCCAACCACCACTTGCCATGCCACGTGTCTATGAGGTTGTGAGGTGGTGATTAGAAGAGTCTCTATCATGACTTTTTTTCAAAATACCCCTATTTTGTCACTCCAAATTTGCATGTATCACCGAGTCAAAATGGACCCGAATAAATAAGGCAAATTACCTGTTAGTGTCAACTTTAAAAAGTTATTACAAATTTATAAAATAAATTATAATTATTAATATTTATAAAATTTATGACTAATTTTTTCAATTCAAAGTCAATAAAAAGCTTAAAATATTTAAATAAATAAGTTAAATATACTAATTATTCATGTTTTTTCATTCAATTTGAAAAATTATTTCTAAACATATTAATTTTTACATATAGTAAAAAAATCAAAATCAAAATCATTAAAAAAACCAAACCTCAAACAAAGCCTTACGTTTTTTCATGTCATGCCACGTTTCTCATGTATGATTATTTAATTGATTTACATATTATTATTTTTTTTTTACTCCCTCCGTCCCAAAATATTAATCATTTATTCTATTTTTCATTGTTCCAAAATATTAATCTCTCTTTAAAAATCAAGTATAAAAATAATACAAATTTCCTATTTTGCCCTTCTTTTAAATTAATAAACAATATGAAAAGTACAATTATGACATTGATATTCTCAAAAAATGTACTATCAAAAGGATAATTTTGAAAAATCAACTTTTTTCAAATGCAATAATTGTACTACAAAAAAAAGTTAAATTCCCTAAAAGAGACCATTATTTTGAGACAGAAGGAGTATCAATTGTCACATTTTTCGAAGAAAGAGCCAGATTATCTCTCTAGTTTGTATTATTTGGGCCCGCAGGCTACAGGTCTCTTCTCAATAATTTGAATTTTTAAATTATTTACGAAAATATTATGTTGATTTAATAATTATAATCATGCTATTTAATAATATTTATTTAAAAAAATAAATGACAAATAATATTTAAAAACTAAATCACACTAAAACTTTATGGCCTTGTTTGATTTGCTTTGGGGAGAGTAATTTTGGAGAAATTTTTTCAAAATATTGTTTGGTTTAGTGATTTTAGAAAAAAAAAATTCAAAATCAATTTTTCTCTCTCCTCTCTCCTTCTCAACTACTTTTTCTCTCACATACATCTACTCAACTATAACAAAATATCAAATCATCCCAAACTCCAGTACTTCAAAACTATTTCCAAAATATACAATCAAACAAACCAAAAAATTTCTAAACTCTCTCTTCAAAATTTTTTTTGAAAATTTATCTCCCAAAACCAAACCAAACACACCCTAAATTTTTGTAATGTCTTTAATTTTTTTGAGATAAATGTAATAAAATAATGTAGCTATAGTTATTGAATTCACCTAATTTTTTTCTATAGATGATCAACATACTATGGTTTATAAAACGAACAATTCGGATCATTAAAGTAGGACCTATGATGAACCTCATAAACCCCAACAGTACTGTCCAACACCACAAAATAGACTAGAGAGAATCTACCTCCTCCAGAAAAACAACCTTAGCAATTTTCCAAGCGTAATAATATCGTGACCTTCAATATTTGCATTTACTTTGATCAAGAGGATTGTAATTCCAACAATCAAAACAATAGGGCTTCGATAAAAGAAAATATAAATGTCACCCTTCTTTTAGCTTTCATTTAGAAACTGGAAAGAATTAATTATGTGATTATCACATGCCTGATAAATTTGTCAGATTTAGATTTAAGTGTCACACAAGCTAAAATTTGAGAAGTAAAAAATGTTATCCAAAATAGTTAATAAATTGCTTCTTGAGACAGTTTTTGTTTATAATCTTTGATAGTAGTGATTATATTATAGTACAATCAACAGAATTTCCCTAACTAAATGCCTCTTGAGCTTTGGTCCGTGGATAATTAATTTTGGGCAACAAAAAACAAAGTAGTTCTTTTATGGGTTGTGCTAGGGAGCTCGAATCTGAGCTCCCCCGAATGCCCCGAATTCCTTTTTTTTTTTTTTTTTTTTTTCCCCCAGAGAGATCAAGTATAGCTGTGTCCGCAGGATCATTAGTCATCAGCTCGCCAATGTAGTGATATGACACAGCTCTACGTAGGTGGTTCATAATGAGAGAGCATCAGATCACACATATAATCACGAAGATGGATAGGGGTTGGAGTTACCCGGCCGTGGTCGACCGTAGCGAGGCATCGTGGGTGGAGAGTTCGGTGGAGAAAGGAGGTGTTGGCAACAGAGGTAGACCTTCAGGTCGGCAGGCTGGACAGGATACAGGGTTGAGCAAGGGCGTCTCGCCATGAGGAGGAAACCTGTATCAAAATCAAGCAGAGAAAAGATCGGAGGAAGGATTGTAAACGTGTGTCGTAGTGGAAAGTCCGGGTATGAAAGGAGGATAGCGAGAACTTTGTGTTGCTCCACGAAACGACATGGCGGGGATACAAGACGTTAGAGAGGTCCCAACAGCGAAAGCCTTTATGGGTTCATGCCATACCACAGATTACTATACTTTAAAGACAGAGCTGAGGTTCTATGGGTGATTCAATGGGATGACGTAGAACAAAACAAACAGGCCAACCCGGAGCATTGGCGTATAGGAGGTGGAGTCATGCAGACGTTCAGAGGGATGATATGGATGAGGGTAGGAGCACACGTGATAGGATTGTGTGTAAACGCATGGGTGTGGTGGGGTGGGGAGCTTCTCCCCAATTATTTCAGGGACAGATGAAGAGAGAAGGAGAGCGCGAGTAGTGTCAGAAATGCCAGTTCGTTTCAGCGGGCCAGTTTTGCCTGGACGTGCCAGCACGAACGATGAGGTCGGGTGCCATGTTATGCTGAGACAAAGGAAAGAAAAATCTGAAGTCCATATTCCATAGCTTGTCAGAGCGAACAAATTATTTTTGGGATGGTGTGAACATTTGGGAACGATAATATTAGTTTAAGTTCACTATTTTTCTAATAAAGGAAAGCAAGTAAACCGGGAAAAATCATCAATACTAACAAATGGATCCCCTAGGTTAGTTAGTACAGGAGGGCCCCAGTACATAGCCGAAGTATAGAGATCTAAAAGGGGCAAGAGAAACAGAAATACTCTTATTAAGGATGTAACAGTTTCGTGGCTTAAGTGACAGTTGGCTAATTCGATCATCAAATTATCGGGATTACATACCTCTACGTACTAGATTCCAAAGACCTTAAGACGAAGTAACATGACCTAATGCTACAACAATGCCAAGATGAGGGAGTAATAAGGAAGAGATGTGGAGCTCGCAATCTGAGAGAGGCAGGAGACATGAAGTGAATGAGTTCATAGAGACGTCCGCTATGGCCGATCCCATGTTTGCTGCCACCCGTCTTTGAGGCATTGTACCAATTCTAATTAGTCATGAGAATAGTAGAGTTAGAATTATATTCTGGCAATTGGAAAGATAGCTTAGGAGACAGGGATCTGATAACGTGAGGTAGAGATGAAAAGAGAGGTGGACACAGTACCACAGTGACGAACAGACATAGTGAACATCGCGAGTATGATTTCGAATATGAGAGAAAGGGAAAAGATGTAGAACTTGGAGTTTTGATAATAGCAGGCAGGTCAATACCAAGAAGAGTACCGTGGATACACTGACAAGCAGTTTTTTAGCACAGGTGTACAGTGCAGAATTGCTGCTCATCCGTTGGAGAAAAGTGGTATGAGCAAGGTGACTCAGAGAACCGCAGAGGGGCAGCTGTCAGTGTGTGAGAGCTGATTCCCGGGAAGCAGCAGCAGCATGTGATAAGCTGATTCCCGTGAACAGAAGTAGCAGTGTGATAGACTTTGCGGACACGATGAAGCAATTCTCCCGGGAAGAGCCACGCGGAGAGGAGATGGCTATTGGAGGCATGAGCGGGATGCAGTTGCGACATAACAATCCTGTTTGCGAGACCGGTCACAGTTTGTTGACAGTAGCGCAGGACTTGACGGGGCAATTGACCAGGAGATGGGCTTTGAAGGCAAGGCCCGATTCGACAATTAGAAGCAGCGTTGTCCGCTGGGTAAAATGATGGCCGGGAGGAGGATGGCAAACAGAGTCCACATGATGAGTTGAAGAAGTACTAGACGGTCTCTCTGATAGCAACTCAGAAATGGCTGTTTCAGGTGGGCAAGGGATGCGATGAAGCAGAGAGAGCGTACCTGGGCTCAAAGAGGGGTAAGAGCCATCGAGAAATGCCCAACCTTTCGCTGGTTGCGCTGGTTAGTATAATAAAACTGCATCTTCGGGGTCATGCCAAGTGGTGGTTCTGAAAGAGCAGCTGATCAACAGAGTATATTGAGAAAGGAGTCATAATGGACTGAGTGGATTCTTGGCGCGCGGTGAAGTTGGTTCTGAAGTTGATATGACGGCAGACCAGTAGTCTGGTATCGTCTTTTCAAAAAATCCCAGATGTCTTTCGCAGGAGTAGGTCTAGTAGAGTCAAGCTGAAAGCCGGCCAATTGAAGACTCGTATAGAGTAACAGTATACGAAACCAGGGTCAATGATTGGTCAATCTTACTGTCCTTCCTCATCGCGTCTTCATATGTAACAGTATGAATCAGGAGTTTCAGTATGGCACTGTCTTGACTGGTCTAGTCACATCCCGGTGACAATTCGCAGAGCTTTGCCTTGAGAAGGAAGACATGGCTTGGGCCCAAGAACATAGTTTTACCATTCAGAAATAACGGGAAAGGGCATGAGAGGTGTCAAGACGATCCATAATACTAGTAAGTAGGATTAAGCA